GCTTCTGCTGCTGCTGCTGCTGCTGGGGCTTCAGCGACATGGTGAGGGGCCCATACACCGGCCCGCACGCCGGGCGGGGACAGCCGGGAGCCGGGTGCGCCGAAGAGATGCCGGAGCGCGGCGGGGACGCGCGGGCGCCGAGCGGGGAGGCGCGGGTCGGCGCGGCGGGGGGGGCACCCGGGCCGGCGAGGGGGAGAAGGAGGACGACGAAGGGGCGGGGAGACCCGCCGAAACCGAGGAGCCGCCGGGAGCCGGGCCGGGGCGCGCCACCACCGTTGCCGTTGCTACCAAAACAGTCTGAGGCGGAGGGAGGCGAGCGTTGCCCGGAGGGAGGGGTGCCGGGGCCGGGCGGGGGAGGGGCGGCGGAGGGATACGGTGTCGGAGCCCCGGCGCTGCCGCCGCCCCGCCGCGCCGGCCGCGGGAGCGAGCGCCGTCCGGGCCACCTGGCCGCGGCGAAGCGACGAGGCTCAATGGCCGCCGCGGGGCCCCGAGGAGCTGCGGCCGCCGAGCGCATTGGGGGTCGGGCACACAGAGCTGCCGCGTGGCGACGCCGGGTCGGCGCGGAGGTGCCGAATGGGGACTCTTTACCGGAAGTCGGAAGGGTCGGGCGGAAGCAGAACGTGAGGTGGCACCGGGGCAGGGAGGGACACGTGAGGAGCGGGCGCCGCGCAGGGCAGCGTTCGCTGGGGTCGGGTGAGGGCCCGGCGCCGGCCGGCCCTGCCCGGGTCCGCCCTCTTCGAGGCGGGTCTGTCCTTCGGAGAGGGAGTGTCTGTTCGCCTGCAGGGCCGGCCTAGTGTAGAGAGTCCAAACGCAGTGGTTCTGGGCGCCCCTCACCCGCGCAGTGTTCACCGTTCTCAGGCTGCTAGGAGAATCCGTGTTTGCCCCACCTGATGCAACTTCGAAAATGGACTGCAAGTGTCTTCAGGGCGGAGACTGTCTTGCTACATATAAAGCACCTGGAACACAAGCCTCCCATAGTTTTCTTTGTATCCCCGGCACCTGGCACACAGTAGGCTCTCACTGTGTCAGCCGGGTGTCAAAGACAGGCCGTCCTGTCTTCCCTTGCCAAGACCAACAGGGTAGGAATCGAACAACCTCCCGGGGCCACCCACATCTGATTACCTTTTCCCCGCTTTTCCAACCCCGGCACCACTGACCAGAAAACCCTTTTGGGTATCTGACCTTCATTTGAACCCATGTTCCTTCACTTTGAACTTCTTTTTCCTCCTTCATGAGACTCAAAAAGTGTACGTGATTGGTAGAGCTATTGGTAACGGGGTTTCCTTCGGTGGAGACAGAACAGATCTCACAAGAATGTGCGAACTTTAGACCTTGGCCCCTTTAGAAGTTTTACTTTAACTTAGCTTGGTAGCCAGCACAGTAATCCGTGTTTCTTTTCTTTCTTTCTTTTTCTTTTTTTACTGTGTTGCAATTAAATTGGAAGCGATTAGGTAACTTTTGTTTTCTTTGGTGAAGAATCTAGTTTTTTAAAAAGTGAAATTACTTCAGGAAATGATAGGGAGGAAACACCAACATGTACCTCAGTCTCCCAGAACTATCAAATAAAGGTAAAGACATAGAGAAACTTAGAAAATGATTAAGCCATGAGCCTCCAGTAGCCAAATTGAAAATCTCCTAGATAGTTGGGCAAATATGATGATCATATTCTGCAAACAGTTGAAAAGTGGGATATCAACTTTATCTTCCATCCGAGGTAGAAAGGAGGTTGAGGAGGGAAAGAGCATTCTTTTAAGCCAACAGTTGCAAAATCCTTGAAAAATTAACCCAAAGGAAACTGAGACAAAAAACTGGATGAGGAAAAAAAAAAAATAGAAGGACCATAATAGAAATACAATCAACTTTCTCTCGTTTAATGATTTGACAGTTAGCCATATCTGGGACCAAGGTCCCAAAATTCAATGCTAGGACCAAATTCCACAGATAGAAGGAAAAAAGAAAGTGGCATAAGAAGGCCTGAAGCTGACATAGCTGAACTTGATTTCATTTATGCTGAGAAATCTGAAGTTTTCACCTATTATTATTGAAACTATATTTTAACAGCTTTATTGAAATATATCTTACAAACTATGAAATTCACCCATTTTGTGTACAATTCAGTGATTCTCCGTAAATTTGCACAGTTGTGCAACCATCACAACTAATTTCAGAACATCTCCATCACCACGAAAGAATCATTTTTACCCATTTGCAGTTACTCCCGGAACATCCTCAGCCCCAGCAGCCACTAATCTACTTCCTGTGTCAGTGGATTTATCTGCTGTATACATTTCATATAAATGGGATTTTACAATGTGTTCTTTGCCTTATTTCACTTGACGTGTTTTTGAGGTTTATCCATGTCATAGCATGTATCAGAGTTTCATTCCTTATTATCACTGAATAGTATTCCATTGTATGGATACACTTGGATTCAACCAACCATGGATCGAAAAAAAAATTTTTTTTAATTTTATTTATTTATTTTATTTTTGGCTGTGTTGGGTCTTCACTGCTGCGCGCGGGCTTTCTCTAGTTGCGGTGAGAGGGGACTACTCTTCGTTGCGATGTACAGGTTTCTCATTGTGGTGGCTTCTCTTGTTGCAGAGCACGGGCTCTAAGTGCGCAGGCTCAGTAGTTGTGGCTCGCGGGCTCTAGAGCGCAGGCTTAGTAGTTGTGGCGCACGGGTTTAGTTGTTCCGCGGCATGGGGGATCTTCCTGGACCAGGGCTCGACCCTGTGTCCCCTACATTGGCAGGATGATTCTTAACCACTGTGCCACCAGGGAAGCCCGAAAAAATTTTTTTTTCTTACAGGTTTTTTTGGTTTGTTTTTGTTTTGTTTGTTTGTTTTGGCCACGCTGTGCGGCTTGTTGGATCTTAGTTCTCCCACCAGGGATCGAACCCAGACCCCTGGCAGTGGAAGTGCTGAGTCCTAACCACTGGACCGCCGGGGAGTTCCCCCTCCCCCCCAAATTTTAATTCCCAAAAGTTCCAAAAAGCAAAACTTGAATTGGCTAAGCTCTGGCAACTATTTATATAGCATTTACATTGTATTAGTTATAATAAGTAATCTAGAGGTGATTTAAAGTATACGGGAGAATGTATATAGGTTATGTGCAAATACTACACCATTTTATACAGAGGACTTGAGCATACTCGGATTTTGGTATCCATGGGGTTCGTGGAACCAATCCCCTGAGGATACTGAGGGATGACTATACCACATTTTGTGTATCTACTCACCAGTTGGTGGACATTTTGATTGTTTCAAGTTTGGGGCTATTATGAATAATGCTGCTATGAACAGTTGTAAACATATGTCTTCATGTAGACATATGTTTTTATTTCTCTTGAGCAGATGCCTAGTAATGGAATGTTGGGTGATATGGTAAATTTAAATTTAACTTTTTAAAGATACTGTCAAACTCTTTTCCAAAGTGACTGTGCCATTTCATAATACATCCGCACCTGGAATGTTTGAGAGTTTATCATTAAAATTTGATTTCTCAGGAGTTCCCTGGTGGCCTAGTGGTTAGGATTCTGGGCTTTCACTGCCATGCCCGGGTGCAATCCCTGGTCAGGGAACTGAGATCCCACAAGCTATGTGGCGTGGCCAAAAAAAAAAAAAAATTTGATTTCTGTTTTTATATTAAAATAGAAACCAAGGGAACCTCTACTGTTGATTCTATTCTATACAACCCCCTTTTTTTCTTTGTGGAAGGAGGATCACCACCCAAAATGAAGTAATATCACTTATTGCAAACCCTTCATCTGAATTCTGGATCTCTGAAGACATGGTTAACAACAGCTGTGATGTCAGAGGGCTTTAGCTTTAGATGAAAATGCCAGGATAATGCACCGTAAGACAGAATGGTGTGTGGGAATTCCCTGGCAGTCCAGCGGTTAGGACACAGAGCTTCCACTTCTCGGGGCCTGGGTTTGATCCCTGGTCGGGGAACTAATCCCACCCCCCCAAAAAAAGACAAAATAGTGTGGAAGGCAGCAGTTAAAGTGACCCCCTATGATCCTGTTCTCCTGGTGTTCAGACCCTGTGAAATCCCCTCCACTTGAATATGAGCAAGACCTAGTGGCTTCTTTCTAACAAAAAGTTGGAAGAAATTATGGGTTTTCACTCCAAGATTAGGTTACAAAAACTGTGCCTTTTGTATTGGATTGCACATTCTCACTTGCTTTGAAGAAGGCTAGCTGCCATGTTGTGAGCTGCCCTATGGAGAGGCCTACATGGCAAAGAACTGATGTCTCCAACCTCAGCGAGAACCTGATGGACACCAACAAGCCATGTGAGTGAGCTTGGAAGAGGATCATCCTCCAATCAAGCCTTGATATGACTCTAGCCCTGGTCAATGTACCTTATTAGGCTTTCTTAGAAACCCTGTGCCTGAGACACTCAGCTAAACTGTACCAGACTCCTAACTCTTGTTGTTTAAGTCATTAAGTTTTGCAATAATTTGTTATGCAGCAATAGATAACATGGGCTTCCCCGGTGGCGCAGGGGTTGAGAATCTGCCTGCCAGTGCAGGGGACATGGGTTCGAGCCCTGGTCTGGGAAGATCCCACATGCCGCGGAGTAACTAGGCCCGTGAGCCACAAGTACTGAGCCTGCGCATCTGGGGCCTGTGCTCCGCAGCAAGAGAGGCCGCGATAGTGAGAGGCCCGCGCACCGCGATGAAGAGTGGCCCCCGCTCGCCACAACTAGAGAAAGCCCTCGCACAGAAACAAAGACCCAACACAGCCATAAATAAATAAATAAATAAATAGATAGATAGATAACTAATACACACAACCCCCAAAAAAGTGCATTTCCTATGATTTCTGTGTGCGTTCAGATTTCTTTAAAGACAGATGCTGAAGTCAGGAACTAGCATTGTATCCAACAGAAGTTGAACTTTTGAATGCTTCCCCCACCCCAAATGATTTTCAGGTAGCCGTTTAAACAAAACCAACAAGTGTCATTGGGGAGTTGTCATTGAAGACAGTGAAGAACATTGTTCTGAAAGAGTTCAGATATAGAAAAGTATTGCTTAAATACTTCAAAAATAGCTGTGGCCATTTCAACCACTATTTCAGAAATGAAAGAAGTATCAAGTGAGAAACCATATAGAGAAAGACTTTCAAACTTGGGAATCCAGTCCTGTGGATTCTATACTTGCTTTCTGATTTTCAGTGACCCTTCAATGAGCCACACGGCCCTTTAATTTTCATCATAGCAATGAGTAATCAAGTCTGAGGATTTGAAGATGAAAAATTTATGTAGCCACGCGAAACAGAGATGGGAAGAGTGATTTGTGATCACTCAGTACAGCAGCACACATCAGATGATCCAGTATTTCCAGCAATTCATTTTTCTGCAATCATTTCTTTTCAGCTCTCTTCGTTTGAACATGCTTAATGTATGATGATACATTATTCACTCAATACTCTTGATTTCTCTTTCAAAAGCATGAAAATTAATTCAAATCAAAACTAACGTGCACCCCCCTCAAAACCCATCCTCT